ACTGGTCTTCTTATGTAGTGCTGCTCTGCTCCCAGTGCTCCTGCAACACTTGTAACATTTCCTGGACGTCCAATCATGCAAGCATGTCAAGCACAAGAGCTGACTCTCCTAAACTGTCACAAAATGCCAACACTTCAGCTTCAGTTTTATTTTGAGGAGGAGGAGGAGGAGGAGGAGGAAGAAGTCACAGGGAGATAAATCCTATGAGTAGAACAGGGGCAGATCTGTGTGTGTGTGTGTGTAACCAGGGGTAACTCTGGTGATGGTTTTCCATGCACTCTCTCTTGCATTTGAATGCACCGTGTCACATGCCTTGCCAATCAGCCAATGGCATAGCCCCAATTGCTTCTCCCCTTCAGTCATGTGGAGAGGAGCCAAGGGACAGCTGTTACAGGTTGGTGCTTTGCAAGCATTTTATCCTATGCATCATCGGTGGTTGTTTGGTGCTAAGCTATTTTCTTTACACCTTTTTTAGACCTGATAGTGAGTTGTGCTGGGGGCCTTGTCATTATGTGCCAGAGTCCTGCTGAACTGGTGAGTGTGTAACATTGTTTTGTTGATTTTGGTTGGTCTTGATTGAGTTTCTTTTGGTTGTTTAATTGTTAGCCTGTTAGCATTAGCCACATGCTAACACATGGCTAATGCTAACATGTACTTGAATGCCTTTATCATGCCTTTTGTTTTGTTATAATTAATATCAAATTGCTGACATGCTACTCATTAGCATGCTAGCATGCTAACATGCTAATGTTGAACAAATGTCTGAATTCATGCATATTCAGTGATGTACCATGTCCATGCTAATGCCATGAAGATGCTAACGTTAGTTTAACGGCAGCGCTCAGTTTCAAGAACTGTTCTGAACTTTGTTTGTTCCATTCAGGCCAGGTGCCTTAACTTGGACTAATTGGATGGCGAGCTACAGATCCAGGCTCAGAGCCTAGGAAACGCCCTGCTTCAGCCTAGTTCCTGCTACAGTCTGGTAGGAGGCTGTGCAGCCTGTCTCTTTATCTTCTTCCACAACCTTGGATTCTCGGGTTCATCACAAATAAAGACATTTCAATCCCAAACAAGTGGACAATGCGCTCTTGAACATTTACACTCCTTACCATATACTCTACGGACAGTTTGAGTTCTGTTTGCCTCCAGCAAACCCAGTGCTCGGAGAACCAGGAGAAAAGGGACTGAATTGTGCACATGTAATTACACCGGTGTTGTAATATGAAGTGCAGTTCCTGTACATATGTCTGTTTCACTTTATTCTATTTCACTTGGTTTACAAACTTGTGTCTCTGCCTTTATTTACTGCCCCCTGTCCTCCAGTAGCCTAACCTAGTCTTCTGGTTATTTTTCCAACTAGCCATTACATCTTTTTGTTGTTGTTGTTGTTGTTGTTGTTGTTGACTACATACATGCTACATGTGGGTTTTTTTTTTTTTTTAAAGAGTAAACTTACATTTTTATAATCTGCCTTTTAGCAGTATTTCAGTGTTTCCATTGAAGCAGTTTTCTGTCAACTCCATAGTTCCTCTTCAAAATCCTTGACCTGCATATTTACCATAAGTTGATGCGAAACAGAAACTAACCATTATAACCTTCACGAAGGCAGAATTCAATGAGGACTGCTAAATTGTATGAGTTTTAGCTCAGTGTAGCTAATAAAGTAGCATCTGAGTGTATTGTCACAGAAATAGGAAAACCTGTTGTGCAAGTTGTTTACAGATTAATGTCACCATTTATGGTTCAAAATGTACAAATGTTTTATATTTAAACTCAGCATTAATGCTAACATTTACGTTTAACTGCTTCACTATATTTATGTCTTAATAATATTAGATTTGAGCTATTATTATTATTTTATTATTATTATTTTATTTATTGAATTTCCCTTCTGGGATGAATAAAGTATTTTTCATTTCATTTCATTTCATTTCATTTCATTATTGCCCAGAACCATGTTTTTGTAAGTGTTTTGATTTTGAGTATCAAGTTAGAAAATTTCAGTTTTGTTTTTGTCTTTGCTTCATACGCCTGATATGATAATGAGGTGAACAAAATCCTTTTGTTTATCAGCCTAAACATTCAAAACATGAAATTTAACCCTTTCAACAAGAAGTTCATTTGTAATTTTTAATGTCCAAATTGGAGATAAACTGCATCAGAATAGGTTTTTCAAATATACACAATGTGACTGTTTCATAGCTTACATTCGTGTGTATTTTGGATATTTGACTAATGTTTTCATTGAAACTGTAGAACTCCTTGCCTTTAATTACTCACTGTGCTCTAATTTTCTCTCCTGGTGGGAAGAAACGGTTTGAACCCTGGAGACCAGAGGGCCCGCGGGTGCTTCCTCACCCACAGACACCCTCTAATCAGACTCATTTACTGAGCAAAGCAACAAAGTGCGATCACCTTTAAGAGAGCCTCTGTTTTTCCTTTCCGTTACTCCAGAGCACCATTTACTGGAAACGCTCCCAGAGCCAAAGCTCGAGGGGCACTCTAACAAGCCCCCGATTAGGGCTGGATTTGCAGCTTGCTGAGTTAATGTCAGATTGGCATAAAGTGTCCACGTGGGACCAGAGTGGGTGCTGGTCTGGGACTTGATGAGCGCACCCTTCTCGCCTGTCAGGAATAATTGTTTAATGAAAGCGAACAGTGTCCCAAATCCTGGCAGAGAGCGAGAATCAGAGGCGTCTTTAGTTAGAGCTCAAGGCCTCTCTGCAGGGAGGAGTGTTGGGCTCTGCAGAAGAGATTCTGCTGAAGAAGAGTTTACTCTACTCTGCTGCTAAATGAACGCTGCTGTCATTATGTAGCTGTAGACCTGGGCGATGGAAAAGTGAACTGTACCGATGAGACACTTCCTCATTAGCATTAACAAAATTGTTTGTTGGAATGATAAAACTGTCATGAAATCCCGAATGAAATTCTGAGGTGTGCTCTGCATGCTAGTCTGCAGTCACCCTGTTTAAAGCTGAAAAGGTCAAAAACCATTACTTCTCAAACTTGTTTGTTTGAAAAATGGCATAAGCCTGTCGGCACGTCGCATTTTATGTCTTGGAATGTGAAAGAGCAACATTCAAGCATTGAAAAACTACCCTCTGTTTGGTCAACAACATTTTTCTCTTGCAAAAACTGCCCTCAGAGTTTCTGCAACTTAAAAAGTTAACTAAATCAATAAATTAGTTTTTTTATTGTGCAGCCATGCATGTGATTTAGTGTTAAGAATGGTTACTTTAGTCAAGTAAAATCTTCTAAGTGCTTCTTCCACCTCTTGACTTCTGTCACTAATATACTGATCTCCACCTGCATTTGTTCTGACTGTGGTTTATCATTTTTTTTGGCACTAACACATTTCATTTGTTCTTTTTTTTTGGTTTGTTTGTTTAATTTCATAATACCTTTTGCACATATTCAGTGCTTCAACATTCAGAGGCTCACAGACAATAAATGCTGAACTAAGAGCAGCAGAAATCCGGCTGTCCAAACGAGTCTGACTGGCACTCATCTGGTATCTGACATGAAGCCCTGAGGCCTGAGAGAAACATGATGAGGACTTTTTCACAAGGAGACGTCCAACCTGCACAGACTCTGTTTCTGTCTCTGTGACGCTGCTGTTACATGAGCATCTGAACGACAGTTTTCATCCTCTTCATTGGAGCTCAGATGAGGGTCTTCACCTCGAAACAAAGCTCAGAACGCGCTGACACAGCTATAAATGCAGACAATGCTGATCTAAAAAGCTGTTTCAGATCATATTAAAGAACATATTTAAAAGTAGGAAAATATGCATATGTAAATATTGCTGTGGTGCGTCTGTGAAAAAGAAATGATCTTTCTGGTTGAATTGTTTCAGCACAGCTAGTTGTGAAATTAGGTTTTAAGAAGTTGGGCAGGAAAAACACAAAGCAGAACAAAGAAGAGTTGCGTAAAGATTCAGAGTAAGAGTTCTTGGTAGCAAGATGCTTGACTTAAAGTTTCACATGAAGAATGACCAAGCAGCAACCTCCGATGATAAAAAAAATAAA